CCAAGATCTGAGGATGTTCAAGTGCAGTTAAATACTATGGATAGTAAAATGGTGTTCTGTATATAAAATGGCAGAATCAAGGTTTGCTTGAATTCATGGATAAAAAATCCATGGATATGGGAGGCTGACTGTATACAGAGTAGGATGTGAGTGTGCATTGCCTCTATGCATTGCCTTTGTGCATAGTGCATTGTAGTAGAACAATGGGTTGCCAGCCATTCTCATTGACCATTGATCCACATACATTGTGCTACACTAATATTCAGTTTAGAGGCTGTATAAAGTAACTCTGCCAATAGATGTTTACACTACTCTGAAGCAATGTAAGATCTCAGTCAATGTGTGGTTCATCACTTTGTACTTCATTGTGACTTTTTGAATACATTATTAATCACCAACATAATCTCAATAGAAATCAGTTCTGTTAGAAACCCTTTGCAGTGGCAGTCCATAGACAGATAGGTCTGTTTTAAAATAGAAATCTGTCATCATTCTCATCTGAGTAGCTAGATGGTTTGTGAGCATTGTATGCTGTCACATTCACTTTACCAAATATGGTTGGAGGTTTCACATACAGAACACAAAACAATATAGATAGTTACTGCATTGGCAATCATCTATTCTATTTGCATTGTCCATGAATGTCTGCCGCATAAGTTAGTTTGACCTGCTTCAATAGCAGTTGATAGCTTTATATGAAATTCATGGAGTTCATCACACATCATTGAGACAGTTGCAGTATTTTAAGAGTTTTGCTCTCTCACAAAGGATCATCTTTTAGTATTGGGTCTTCCAGAAAGGGAGGAACCCAGAAATAACCAGAATAGCATCCTCTGTCTTTTTATAGAATTCCTCAAAATGCAAATTCAGTAAATTGTAATGATCAGTCTTTTAATGGTATGCTAATTTCTTAATGCATTCAATTTATCCTCAGCAGGTTTTTTTTCCCCCAATTATAAGGCTGAAAAGTGTGGCTGTCTTTTCTCAGATGAATTGTAGAAAATTGCATTACATGGCTTCTTTGAGTAATAACCAAGACATAGATAAATATAAGTAAACATGTAGTGATAACAAGTCTAATTTTGACAACCTTCATTGTCATAAATAAAACATTATGGTTTCAGCTTTTTTGGAAACCCTGAATAGCCTTTTCTAAAAATAAACAAATGTCCCTCCAACCGACTAACTTGGCCCATCATTTCATGTTCACCTAATGTATTGTCATTAGGAATTGTTGATATCACAATATCTGTATCTGTTGTAGTGGAATTAGGACTCTTAGAGTTGAGACATGTGGTTGTTTTGATCTCACCTGCCATCCTTCCCCTATTCCTTCTGATTTTAGTTGCAGTCCTGAAGTTCAGGGGTGAAAGCTATTTTCTAAGCAATACTACATTTTTGAACCATCTCTATTTTAGTATTTGGAATGGTTTTGTTTTCAATGAGCAATTAAGATCCATTAGTTTTAACACACACACACACACACACACACAAAATCTTTGTGGACATAGAGAATGAGTTTGTTCATATAAATCAACACATCTGTCTGTATGTACTGGATGTTCTTGAAAAGTACTTCCATTTTATTTGCCACTAGACCACCATATATGACACTTTACACAGATACACATACAACATGGACTTCTGTAAGATAAATTTGGACTATGTGCCTTAACTTCTTCCTTCCTTCCTTCCTTCCTTCCTTCCTTCCTTCCTTCCTTCCTTATTTGGCCTAAGGGATAAAGGGATAAAAAAGCTTATTTGCTGATCAAAGTGAATACTGATGAGTTCTTTAAACATTTAAAACAAATTAGAAGCAATATATGTAGGTCTTTCCCCCTTCAAAGACAAACATCATGTTAACAGATCTGATTTACTAGGTCCCTGTTAAAAATTTAGTTCCTTGTGATGTTTCTATAACAGCAACCTCATAGTCTGTTTGGCACAGAATTGTAACATTTAGCAAAGCAGCACTGGCCCTTGATTTATTTATGATCATTTGGGGCTTTTTTTGGGGGGGGGGTGTTCCAGCTCTCAAACTCCATTCTACCATGTCTGATCATATCACCCATTCTGAAAGAAGCTGGATCTCCATTCTTTTAAACAAAAGTGTTTTCCATCATTTGTTCCCACTTGACTGTTATATGTGACAATGCAAGGAAACAGGGATCTACAGAGTTACACTTTGGACGTTTTCACACAGGCGGCTCTAAAGCCGCCTGGAAGCCATCAGGAGTCATTCCGGCGGCGAAAACAGCAGCCGCCGGAATGACTCCTGATTGCCTCCGGCAGAAGCGCCTGTAATTCCTCTTTTAAAAAGGAATTACAAAAATGGGGCTAAAGCCGGCTAGCGGCAGGGATGGCGCAGGGATTGCGCAAGATGGGGCGGGGCTTGCTGCGACGTCGTGTGAACACTCGCAGCAAGACCCCGGAGTGAGGCAGGGATGGCGCAGGGATGGCGCAGGATGGGGCGGGGCTTGCTGCGACGTCGTGTGAACTTATCCTGCACAGAGCCGGAGTGGGGCCGGACGGAGGTAGGAATGACTCCGTCTAAAGCCCCGTGTGAAAACGTCCTGTGTCAACACAGACTATTTGGTCACCAAGCCTGTTTGCGTATTTAGCCAGCCAAACCCTAGCTTTCAGAGATCAAGTAGGAGGTCTTTCCTATTCCTAGCCACTACATCTTTTTATTTGGAAATGCTAGGGATAAACTCCAGGACCATCTGCACACAATTCATGTAGTCTACAATTGAGTTATGGCTCCAATCTATGCTATCCACCTATTTGTGATAAGAGGGAAATGGACATAGCTGTTGTTCTATTCCAATTTCCTGTCCTGAAGCAGCTTCTTCATGTTTCTAAGGCAGCCAGTTCCAGCAAATATTAAATGTAATGGGAGATGAACCACCATCGTGAAAAGTTTACTTCAGCAGACCTGTTATGGTGAAATTTACAATCACCTCTTTATCCAAGGAGAGTATCTCTACTTTGCTCCAAAGATGTTCACAAGCTATGAAATCTAAAGATTTGAAATCATTTTTTAAAAAATAAACAGCTTACTTTTTTGTTGTTGGAATATTTATCTGCTGAATGAGGCAAGACACATACAATGATTATGGAAACAACACCAGATTTAAAACTAATTTATTTCTCCTCTAAAGCAACATGTGCATTAATCAAAGTTTTTTTTTTAGTTTGACACACAGAAAGCTGGCATAATCCTTTCCAGTTACAGGATCACAAATGTTGAGGGTCAGTAGTTTGGGGAAATCAGTGTTAATTATAACGTCTGAAGTAGGCATCATTAGGCAGGTAGTGTAAAGTTGTACCGTTTCCTAAAATATTATTCTTAAGAAAATGTCTCTCATTTGGAGGCCTATGGTATTAAAATATATTATAATTTAGTGCATTGAACACAAAGAGTGTTTGAATATATCTTCATCCTTGCAGTTTATTAAAGTTTCCCAGAGCTTTGTATGGATTAGAAGAAATCTTTCAGTTAATCTCTTGTGCCACATCAGCTGTGGTAAATGAGAAAACAGTGTTGTTGATTGAATGGAGTAATATTGCTAACAAACAAATATGCATATCTCAGTATCATTTTATGACACCTTCAGTGGAATTTCAGATCATAAACTATCTTTCATTTTTAATGCACAGTAATATTTTTGGAAGAAAAAAAGAAGAGTAAATATTATGGTTCTTTCCTACAAATGCTACACTATCAAGATTTATAGCAGCTGTAAATAAATAAAACAAACAGTAAAAGCAATGCCATTGATAATGGAGATCAATCACTATATATGAAAAAGCTAACTGTTCAATATAAATATGATCTAGCCAATCAATGCATTTGTTTTGTTGGTAACATTTTGTATTGGTGTTGTGTGCCTTGAAGTTGTATCCAACTTATGGTAAACCTAAGAACCTATCATGGGGTTTTGTTGGCAAGATTAGTTTATAAAGGATTTGTCCTTGCCTTCCTCCAAGGTTGAGAAAGTGTCACCTGCCTAGGATCCCCCAGTGGGTTTCTATGGCTATGTGGGAATTCAGAATCAAGGTCTCCAGAGTCCTAGTCCAACACTTAAACCACACCATTCTGGCTCTCTGCATAGGTTAGGCCTCCAAAGCGGGGGGCAGGGAAAGTTAACAAGGGAATGGTTTTCCCTGTCTAGATGTTTTGTATTCTTGCTAAAACTAAAAATAATCACGTATGTATTTGCTTCTTCCTTTCTGCAAATCTTTTAGTGCAAAGTTGGACTGTGAATCTGGAGAGCAATCCCAGAAGCTATTGGCCAACATGGGACTATTGGCCAACATGGCTGGGGCTTCTGGGAGCTGAAGTCCCTCGGCCCTTAAAGGGGAAAGGTTGCCTACCCCTGTTCTAGGAGATGTGTGGCTGAGCAACACCAGAATGTTGTCAGAAAGGTATGGCCAAGCAACAAAGGGACAAAAGTTATAAATGGGGAAGAACATGCAAAAGTTCTAATTTAAGCAGAGAAACCTTGAAATTTATGTTCTGAATTTAGGAAAGCTTAAAACAAGAACACAAGAACAAATGAGACTACTGAGAAGGGCAAAACTCCACCTTCTCCTCTTCTTCCTGCTGAGTACAAAGGCAAACCCTTTTGCATTTTGACTCATTTTACAGCAACTGAAATGAATAGAGGATGAAGGAGGAAAGTGGGAGGAGGAGAGAGAAGCAAATGAGAAAGTGGGACAGCATAGAATTAACTGGCACTGTCCAAGATAAACTACAACAGTTGTAAGGCATGCCATTGCTGGGGTGTTTGTTGATTCTACAGCCTAAAATTATAAGAATTCTGCATTGTTGTTGTTGTTCTTGTTGTTGTTGTGTGCCTTCAAGTTGTTTCCTATGTAGGCCTACTTAAGGCAACCAATGTTTTCTTGACTAGATCTGTTCAGAGGAGTTTTTTGCCTTTCCCTCCCTCTGAGGTTGAGAAAATGTGACATGCACAAGGTCACCCAGTGAGTTTCCATGGCTAAGCAGGGATTCAAACTCTGATCTCCAAAGTCATAGTCCAACACTCAAGCCACTATGCCACATTGGCTCTCTAGTAGAATTCTACTACACTGGACCAGATGAAGCATCCTATTTTCCATGGTGACCAGTTGTGAAGCCAACAGGAAAGGTATTAGAAGAACACTCTCTCAAAGTTACTCCACAGAATCTATAATTCATGCATAGCATGTTGTCTCTGGTTCCAAACAGCCAACATGAATAGCAATCATTGACAGACTTAACCCAACATAAAGCTATGACGTAATATCAGCTTAGTAGACCTTAGAGTTTTTCACACATTTAAAAAACCTGGCTTACCTTTCCCAGTTTGAATCCTCTTCCAGGATGCAGCTGGTATTATCACAGCAAAGTTGCTGCCGATTCCATTGGCTGAGTGCAGCCTGGCTGCATCCCAGGTCCCAGGCATGCTTCAGCAGCAATTTTTCAAAGTTGGAAAGTTCCCGGCTTGGAAAATGGCTGCCAAAGCGCTCCCAGCACACAGGATACAGCCGGGCTGCACTCAGCCAGTGGAATTGGTGGCAATTTTGCTGTGATAATACCCGACTGCATCCCTGAAGAGGATTCAAACTGGGAATGGTAAATCAGTTTTTGTTTTTTTGTTTTTAGCCTTGCAAAAAGCTCCCTTGACTCAGTTCTGTACCCATACAGTAGCACAAAAGGTTGAAGTGGTAAAGGCCCTTGTTATAGTATGTACGTTTTCATTCCTCTAAACTTGAGGATTGTGTGGACTCTTCCCATCAAAGCGTTTAAGAGCCTTTTGCTCCAGTTTAATATGCACTTGCTCATCTTTATTAAAGGTCACATTTTGGAAGCTGGAACCTTCAGGCATTCATTCTCCTAGCTTCGAGCATCCTTCCTTCTGTGGACCCTCTTTCTGATCACCCTTTAATTACATTTGAAATCCCTTCCATGTCACTATCTCTCCTCTCTCAATTAGTCCACCTCCAGCTGCGTCGAATTTTTATGAGGTAGGACAAAATATTGCCAGTGATAAGGAACTCGGATTTTAGCTTATCTTCTCACAGCAGGCTACTCTGCAGGGCAAAGGATGAGTTTGCAGGACTAGTACAGTCTAATTTGTTAGTGAGTTCTCCTGCCCTTTTGGGTCTGATTTATTTTCTTTAGAGTATGGCTTGCCAGGACTGCTGCTTAGAAGAGGGAGAGTCCTCTCTTTTTTCTTTCTTTTGCTTGGCAGCTGCAGGCTTCATTGATCAGAAAGCTTGCAGATGAAAACAGGAGGAGCAGGGAGGGCAAGACAACAGCTACAAGTTTGCAAGCCACAGCCAAGCAAGAGGGTATGAGAACAAGAGTGTGGAAAAAGGGAGCGGTGATGGATCAGGCTTTCTTGCCTGCCTGACAGTCCCATGTTACCCAATACCAGACAGTTTCTAAGTGTTGTCTGGCTATCATCCTAATCCATTATCCATCTGTCTTGTGCTTGTCTGGCACATTCTGGACAAATTTTTGTTTTTATATTTATTTTAAACATGCACACTTCCACTGATCAAAGTGACCATGGCTTACTCATTTGGATGGCTAGATCAGTGGTTCTCAAACTTTTTATCCAGCTACCCCTTTTACATTGTCTGTGCTGAGTAGGAATTAATACAAAGGTTTATTGTATAAGCTAAGACTTTCTCAGAATGACAGTAGTCTTTCCTAGCTCTGTCTTTTCTCTCATGTGCTCTTTACTTCCTAGATTTGCTCCCCTTGTTTATTTTCTTTTTGTCTAGATTACACATAGGAGATAAATTAAATATGCTACACAGTGAGACAGAATCAAATACTCCTCAATTAGGCATAGTCAAATTGACCTTTATGAGCTCATGGGTCCTTTCACGCTATACAATCATAGCACTATAATTCCTTCTTAACTGCATGGCTGCCTCCTAGCACTCTGGCAAGTAATGCTATGTCACCCTTCCTAAATGGCAAATCCCAGGATTCCATAGAGTAAAACAGTGGATGTTAAAGTGGAATCATAGTGCAATAATTGTGTAGTGTGAAAGGGCCCCATGTTGGTGGATATCCTGTGGCAATGTTTTGGTACATTGGTCTGTTGCTGAAGATACAAGGGTTCAACCTTCAGGTACAAAATTCTTTGAACTACTAACTTACTTAAATTTTAAAAAATAATATATATGCAACATGGCATCTTATTCCTTTTCTTCTGTTAAGGACATTCTAATCTCATGTTCCCAGCTGATGCTTGAACCTTTTGAAGACAGATCACTTAAAACTAGACTGAGGGGAAATATTTGAGTGACAAGCCTTATTCTCATTTGTATAATCAGAGATAGCAGATGTGTCTAGATGTCTTTCATATCATTCCATGGAAGTTAAATCAGCAGGAAGATATAATTTGATGTGAATGTGAGAAGGGGAATAAAAAAATATAGCGATAGCATGTATATATACTTTTGATGTGGTGATGGAGGGACTGTTTTTAAATCAGAGAAAGGGCCAAGTCTTCAGAAGCCCTAGAATGGTAAAGGCTTTGTTTTATTTGTGCAAAAGCTGAGACCAGGAAAGAAGAGCAGAGCAAGAAAGAAGGCAAGTAGTAATGGGTATGGACTAGTGTAGTGGTTGTAGCCAAGTAGACTTTTATGGTTTTAAGGGTGTTGAAGAGGAATATATTTTATTGGGTGTTTTTTTTTTTAATGTTCCTCAGCCTAAATCTGTCCATGACTATGTGGAAGTTTTCAGTTTTGACCCCAAATAAATTGTGGCTACCAAGTTGGCTTGCCCACTCCTTGCCAACATAGGGTGGGCCTAAAATGGCCAAAATACTCTGGATTGCTCCCATTATCAATTATAAATGCAACATTGTTATGGGAAAACAGTCATATAGCATGTTCTGAAGACACATATACCTTAATGACATACACCACAAATAAGAAATATAGATTGAAATTATTTTGTTCAAGTGCATATTTGTCATTTTCCCTGGCATACATATTCTGCAAAAAAACAACACCTTGATATCTTCAAATACTCTTCTGAAATGACTTTGAATTTACTTTTTATTGGTAAATGCATTGACTCTTTTTGCTAAATGGCAAATGTGCTATTAACTGTACAGTTAAAAGTAAGAATAAATTAAATGTCATGGAGTATAGAAATGCAGTGCTAAGGCTTTCCTGCAATATCAGATAGTAAAAAAGAAAAATGATTTCTTTAGGCAACTCATTCCACCTTTTGTTAATTGGGTACCACCTTTCAGCTTCACAGATGATTGGATAAAATATTTACCATTCGCTTTCTTACACGGTATTTATTACATTAAATATGCATACCTTATTTTTACATTATCATTTTTTTCCTTCCTTGTGATTAGATAGATTTTTTTCTCTCCAGTTCAGAGCTCTCTCAATTGTGTTTGCTGTCTTTATTTCTCAGTGTGGAGAAGTAAAGATACTATCATTTGATGGTGGAAATTGCTGCAATTCTTCATTTTCTTCCCCTTTGATGATCAACTTGTCTTAATTTTACTCCCTCAACTGTTGTTTACTGGAATTATCTTCCAACTTCTGTCTCATCTCATAGTGCTTAAATTGAGAATACTAACAAATCATTGTATACATGGCAAGAATCAGTGTAGTATAGTGGTTTAAATGTTGGACTACAGACTTTGGGAGACCAGGGTTTGAATCCCCACTCAACTATGTAAAGTCACAGGCTCTAAGCCTCAGGGAAGTCAGTGGCAGACCCTCTCTGAACACTTCTTGCCAAGAAACCCCCCAAGATAGGTTCACCTTACAGTCATCATGAGTTGGAAACAACTTGGAGGCATTCAGAAACAACAGCATTGTGTACAGAAGCCAAACAAGTTGAATGTGGACTTACACAACTTTACAATAACTTGGACCCTGAGCATGGGAACCTATAGAGTGCAATATAAAGGGCATATCATGACCACCCTGGAACTGAAAGGAGTCATCTAGGCAAGTCCTTCATAATTTTGTCACCATTTTACACCTCTGGCTTCAGATATCCACTGTAGTAATTCAGATATAGATTTACACACAAATATGGAAACATGCAGAGGTAGCTGTGTTGGCCATTTAGTAAATTCAAGCAAAAATCCACCAAACAGTGATACCTTTATTGGCCAACCGAAGTGCATACTAAACTTATTGAAAGCTTTCAAAACTCCACTGACTTTTTCATCAGGCAAGATGTTACAACCAAACAGGAGAAAAAATGGAGATGTTACTCAGATGCCTGCATTTTGATGCTTCTGTCCTTAGTTAATATGATAAGTGGAGGGTATCTTTTGCAGGTTGGCCCCTCCTCTCCTTCTGTCCATGTGGCTATTGGGAGATTTGCAAAGACCAGGAAATTTAAAGTCCATTTGCATCTCAACAAGGACCCTTTACAAGCTCTCAATCCCAGAAAACCCATGATAAGTTCACTTCAGATTCACCATAAATTAGAAATAAATTGAAGGCATACCCCAACAACAACATGTACATAAAGGTCCATAAGCCTGTGAGATGCAGTTTTCATCTCACTAGGAACATATCTCAGTTGATTTGTATCTTTCCTCTGGGTGTTGCTGCTGGCATGTGAGAAAGTTGAGGATGTTCAGCTTTTCCTGCCCATCTGGTTATGTTATTCATATGTGGCATTGCACCACACCAAAATGTTTCCCAAGCACTGCTTCTGTTGCTATATGTATGGGAAATTGTGTGTATATGAGAGAGAGATTCAAAAAGAGAGGGAGGGAGGGAGGGAAAAGACCGTAAGAGTCACAGAAATCCACTTTGAGTCTTATCTCCTCTTGGGAATATGCAATATTGTAGGTAACAAGGTTAGATGTGCAAAGCTAAAAACCACCATTTATGGCACTATAAGAGCTTCAGAGAAAATGCATCCTCTGGGAGTCAGAACACTACAAAAGCATGCATATTTAAGGAAATACTCTGTGAAGGAAGTACATAGCATTCAGAGGGGAAAGCATTCTCCGTTCACCACTCCGTTGTTTGGGGTTTTTTTTATTTTATTTTGCAGCAGCAAAAGACTTGC